TTCAGTGTTTTCTTCTCTAGTCTTTCCAAAGTTCTGCCCCACTGGTGAAGCTGGAGAGTAGGAACATTCAACAACAGTGTGAGCAAAAAGGTTGCAAAATGTTCAACACAGAAATCCTTCACCACAAATGGCACCTTTTTTGTCAGCCCCCTCAGAAAGGGGTATGTCTCAATACAAAAAAAGTGAACTTTTTACATCAAGATACCTACCTTGATGTAAACTTCTAGTGGAGACAAGGAGCTATAGTTTTTGCCCTTGCCTGCTTATGTCAAGGTTAACTCCATGCAGGTTGGGGTTGACCTCAACAGTTTACCGAGAAGTAAACTGTCTGTGCCTTGTCTCCAGTGTGATCTCATATTCAGAGAGCTATCGTGATTGAAAACGCAGTGTTTGCAGCACAAATTATTAGACTATGGGTTGAACCAAAATTGGACTGAATTACCTTCTTACCCCTAAAATTTGTCCCTGCACATGAGGGTTGAGGCACATTGGCTGAGTAGCATGGAGAAGTCTGCATTGATGTTGCCTCTAGTTTGAGGTACCGAGTGGATGGGGGACCTGGTTCAAAGACTGTGTAACTGGCACTGTTAAACACTAAATGTACAGTTTTAAAAGGTGTGGTTTATTCCAAATACCTGCACCTCCTGGCTTCAATCACCTATAAAGAATAACTGCTATCCAGAATAATTGCACTTGAAGTATATGAAAGCATGAATGAGCAAATATGAAATTCCCATAAATACAGTACTGTAGTTAATTACTTGCTGTTCCTATCGCTTAGATTGAAATAAGTAGCTCATCTTGTTATTCATATGAGCACGTTCATCGTACGTATCAAGGTGCAATACATAACGGTGCAATTTGTGGTATCTAAATAATGCAGCTTTAGCGGATGTCCTTTTATTATGGACTGTCCCTGGACTCTTCTCTCCTATTTTGGCCTTAATATTAACATAGCAACTTAGTAGAATCCATAACATTACATATAAAGCTTACAGGCAACATGAGGACATCTTTCTTCCTTACTTGGGATTGCATAGGGAAGCATTTTTTTCATAGGTGACAGATACTCTAGAAAACCGGCTCTGACGTTTGTAATATTTCTCTTTTTAGATTTTGTGCTACCAGTTCCTGGAACCAGAAGAAACATGTACTAGACTCTGCTACGTGGCTTCAGATCAGCAAATCTGTTGTACCTTGATGTGCCACTCCTGGCACCCTGTGCAGTGTATAGAAAGCTAGCACTAACAACAACTCTGCTATACCCATATTCAGCTATGTCCAATCTAAAGTCTGATGGGTTGAGAAATAAAGAAACCCTTCTTCAGAAACACCACAAAGACCTGCTTTAGTGGGAACTGATGAGGCAAGACACTATCAGAGCAGATATTTACAGCCTATGAGTCGGAGAACACTTCAATCTCTTTGGTCACTCAATTACAGACCTAAAAGTTGCAATTCTTCAACTTCAAAAACAGACTCCAACGAGAGACTGCTGAATTAGAAGGTTTCAGAGTAACAGCCGTGTTAGTCTGTATTCACAAAAAGAAAAGGAGTACTTGTGGCACCTTAGAGACTAACCAATTTATCTGAGCATAAGCTTTCATGCGCTACAGCTCACTTCATCGGATGCATACCGTGGAAAATACAGAAGATGTTTTTATACACACAGACCATGAATTGGAATTAATTTGCAAACTGGATACAATTAACTTAGGCTTGAATAAAGACTGGGAGTGGATGGGTCATTACACAAAGTAAAACTCTCTCCCCCCTCCCGTTCCTCAGACGTTCTTGTCAACTGCTGGAAATGGCCCACCTTGATTATCACTGCAAAAGGTTTCTCCCCCACCCCCATTCTCCTGCTGGTAACAGCTCACCTTAAGTGATCACTTTTGTTACAGTGTGTATGGTAACACCCATTGTTTCATGTTCTCTATGTATATAAATCTCCCCACTGTATTTTCCACTGAATGCATCCGATAAAGTGAGCTGTAGCTCACGAAAGCTTATGCTCAAATAAATTGGTTAGTCTCTAAGGTGCCACAAGTACTCCTTTTCTTTTTGAGTTAAATCAGTGGTTCTCAAAGCGGCGCGGGGCCAAGGGACGTGCTGGCCGCCCTTCCCGCAGCCCCCTTTGGCCCGCAGCCCCCTTTGGCCAGTGGGAGCCGCGATCGGCCGAACCTGCGGACACGGCAGGTAAACAAACCGGTCCGGCCCGCCAGGGGCTTTCCCTGAACAAGCGGCGGACTGGCTTTGAGAACCACTGAGTTAAATCATTCTTCAGTTTGTATGTTTTCTAGGAAACCCACTAACAGGATGATCCACAACACTATTGTTTTAGTCTATGAAATCTCTTCTTCCAAGGACAGTGGTTTTGAATGGTGATGAGCATTTTCCAGCATGTTTCTAGAGCTCAGCTATTTTTCTAACTACGCTGGGAAAACTCAGCAATTATGCCTATTGGTTTAAGCAGCAGAGAGCCAGTAGAACAACAGACATGAAATTGCAAAGTCCAAGAGCATGAACCCTGCAGACAGCCCTCATGTGTCTGAGCAAGTAATGCAAAACATTAGTTGTCTCCATGGCTGGACATCACCAGCACATGCTTTGATCAATACATGTGATCCAAGCAAGTCAATCATTAATATAACACAATCAGCCACATCCATTTTTATATTACTGTGGTCATATGGTCAGTTCAGGCAAGTCCAAAAAAATTGCATGACTGTAGACTAGCAATTCCTTATTCAAACAGTAAATGTACCACCACCAAGAAGGTGGGAAACTGTTGGGCAAATGGATCAGGATATTATAAAGGAACTTACCAGTAAAATAAGATCTCAGTGAATGAAAACCCTGCTAGGCCTGACTTTGGAAATTTAGGATTTCACCTGCCTAAAGGAATGAAAGGATCCCTGCCTTGCGGTCATTAAGTCTCAGTCTGCATATGGAGGGCTGCGTATGGAGGCTGCAGACAGGGCTGCATATGGAGAATAAACTGCTCTTCATCTTCCTTCAGGGCACTAATTTCTGCAAGTTATTTACTTTAAATGTTCGGTATTTGGGGAACTTTAACATTTCCTAAAGCTTGTTGTTGTTTTTTTAGTTTGTTAGTTTTCTGCCCTAGGTTATGAACCAGTGTGACACTCTGTACCTCAAATAGCACCCTGCAACCCCATGTTCACCACAGTGATATGATTAGGATATGCTTTGTGCAGGTACCATTTCAGAGGTCATGATCTGTTGAACATTACTATCCTATTGAATTATACGTGTGACCGTTGTATTTGAAGTTATCAAGTTTTGCTATGTGTGTGTTATTGAAATATGCTGTGCATCTGGGAGATGCCCACAGCTGGCCTTTTGGTGGCAAAAAAGGAGCAACTAACATCCCCTTACACACAACTAGATATTGTGCAAAATGTTTATCAGTGAAACAGTCCTGAAATATCACTGCCAGTACTTAATTGGTAACTCATCATTTGAATCAGCCTCTATTAAATATAAACTCACATGGTGTTTTGAAGACACACTGTTATAACCGAGGAGCTAGGAATCAAACCCATAAACTTCAAACCTACCATCTGAAGTTAGAGGCTTTCAGGTTAATTATTGGAGCCTGGGATTATTTTTAGTCCCACTTTGTGTGCACAGTTGCAGAATCAATATGGAGTTTTTACTGGATTTAAAACAAATATGTTAAAAAATTAACAAGCACACATCAATGTTGTTTACACAAGCAGTTCCCATAATCTACAGGATAATGGAAATTTTAATCCAACAGCAAACAGTCCGCTGCATTAAACCCCAGTCACATGAATAAAAAACAAACAGAGATAGGTATTTCAAATTTAAATCCATGCTTGTCACTTGTGTTTCCAAAACAACCACTCAGTAACCACTAACAATTCAGCTTGCTTATGGTGTCAACATCCATGCCAACTGATAGAGGCAGCAGCCAGCACTGCCTGAGCCTATGTCTTCCAGATACCACAGAGGCTCCCCAACCTTCCCTATCTTTCCCCAGCTACTCAAAGTTTCCCCACCCCTTGCCCAACTAAAACCTCCAGCCCCCTGTCCTACTATCTGAGACTAAAGGCCTTTCTTCAGTCCCCTTCCACTCTCCCCAATAGCTGAGTGCACCCCACTTTTCAGCATACCATTCCACATCTTCCTGTGCCCCCTGTATACCATGGCACTAGCCACACTGCCATCCCAAGCAGCACCTCTAAACCCACTGAACCCCACTGCTACACTCCAACCCCTGTGCACTTAGATGCACCCCCCTGTCTGCTCACACACCCCAAGCTGTACCCCAACTCCCATAATGCATTTCACTACTCCCACAAGGTGCACCCCTGCCCCATACAGGACCCCCAACCCCATAACACTCATGTCACATCCCTCCTACTCCTTAATACTACACCCCATCCCATCAACCCCAAGATGTACCCCACTGCTCCCCCACGCTCCAACTCCACCCCATCACAACCCCCTATGCTACACCACAGAAGCGATGCTACACCCCACTACTCCCCCGCCCAATCACAGCCCTCCATGGTACCGTATAGCCCCCAATGCTGCACCCCACCCACATCACAGCCCACCATGGTACCCCATAGCCCCAAATGCTGGCCCCACTGCTCTCCCACCCCATCACAGCCCTCCATGGTACCGTATAGCCCCCAATGCTGCACCCCACCCACATCACAGCCCACCATGGTACCCCATAGCCCCAAATGCTGGCCCCACTGCTCTCCCACCCCATCACAGCCCTCCATGGTACCGTATAGCCCCCAATGCTGCATCACAGCCCACCATGGTACCCCATAGCCCCAAATGCTGGCCCCACTGCTCTCCCACCCCATCACAGCCCTCCATGGTACCCCATAGTTCCCAATGCTGCACCCCCGCAGCCTGGGCCGGGAGTAGCTAGCCACCTCCCGGGCCCGCTCCTCAACCCTTCCTGGAGGCTGAGCCCCGCCACGCTCCCTTACCCTACCCGGCCCGGCCCGGCCCAACCCTGCGCCGCCTCCGCCGCCTGCTCGGGTATCAGCCGCTCCCCACAGCCTAACAGGCCGGCGCAGGCGCACACACGAGCTCCCACTCAGAGCCAAGGCGCAGGAACCAGACACGATCGCCTTCCACCCTCAAGACGATACAGCAGGCGCATGCGCAAGGGGGTGAACTGCTTTACCTCCGCCTTGGGCGGGCCGCCACTAGGAATATTTTGCCTATGCGCAGTAGCGGCAGGAGCAAGCTGCGAGTGTGAGCCTAGGGCTATACACAGAGAGGGCCCCCGTGACCCCCCCCACGCTGACCCCCATGCTCACCCAAGGCTCTGAGTCCTAGGGTCGGGTTGGTGCTGTCCTCCCAGCTCCAAGGGCCCTGGGGAGTGAGAAATGTCTCCCGTGGAGCTGGACAAAACGTGCTCCACTGCGGAGCGAGAGGTTGGCCTCAGGGCCAGGGAGCAGCACGGCAGTACAGACCCAGTGCGTTGTGGGGGTGCTCAGCTTCCTCTGAGGCACTGGGTTTTGCATGCTGCAAGAGGCGGAGTTCTGGGCATGATGGGCCACTTGTCTCAGCTGCTAGCACGTTCCATGCCCCGAACCTTTAAGACACAGAAGTGGCTGCATCTTGGAGTGGGGCTGTAAGGAGCTCACTGGGTACTGTGCAAAGTGGCCAGGGCAGCAGGCTGGAAATCAGAAACTCCTGGGCCTGTTCAGGGCTGTAAATACTAATGGAAACTGTGTGATCATGGGAGACTTTAACTTCCCAGATATAGACTGGAGGATGAGTGCTAGTAATAATAATAGGGCTCAGATTTTTCTAGATGCGATAGCTGATGGATTCCTTCACCAAGTAGTTGCTGAACCAACTAGAGGGGATGCCATTTTAGATTTGGTTTTGGTGAGTAGTGAAGATCTCATAGAAGACATGGTTGTAGGGGACAATCTTGGTTCAAGTGATCATGAGCTAATGCCGTTCAAATGGAAGGATTAACAAAAATAAATCTGCAGCTAGGGTTTTTGATTTCAAAAGGGCTGACTTTCAAAAATTAAGGAAATGAGGGAAGTGGATTGGTCTGAAGAACGTATGGATCTAAAGGCAGAGGAGGCCTGGGATTACTTTAAATCAAAGCTGCAGTAGCTATCGGACCATCCCAAGAAAGGGGAAAAAATTCATAGGCAGGAGTTGTAGACCAAGCTGGATGAGCAAGCATCTCAGAGAGGTGATTAAAAAAAAGCAAAAAGCATACAGGGAGTGGAAGATGGGAGGGACAAGCAAAGAAAGCTACCTCATTGAGGTCAGAACATGTAGGGATAAAGTGAGACAGGCTAAAAGTCAAGTAGAGTTGAACCTTGCAAAGGGAATTAAAACCAATAGTAAAAGGTTCTATAGCCATATAAATAAGAAGAAAACAAAGAAAGAAGAAGTGGGACCGCTAAACACTGAGGATGGAGTGGAGGTTAAGGATAATCTAGGCATGGCCCAATATCTAAACAAATACTTTGCCTCAGTCTTTAATAAGCTAAAGAGGATCTTAGGGATAATGGTAGCATGACAAATGGGAATGGGGATATGGAGGTAGATATTACCATATCTGAGGTAGAAGCGAAACTCAAACAGCTTAATGGGACTAAATTGGGGAGCCCAGATAATCTTCATCCAAGAATATTAGAGGAATTGGCACATGAAATTGCAAGCCCATTAGCAAGATGTGTGGGCCCCTTACTGAATGAGGGAGGCAAACTAGTGACAGAGGATGTGGAAAAGCTAATGTACTCAATGCTTTTTGCCTCTGTCTTCACTAATAAGGTCAGCTCCCAGACTGCTACGCTGGGCATCACAAAATGGGGAAGAGATGGCCAGCCCTCTGTGGAGATAGAGGTGGTTAGGGACTTTTAGAAAAGCTGGACGTGCACAAGTCCATGGGGCCGGACGGTTGATCCGAGAGTGCTGAAGGAACTGGCGGCTGTGATTGCAGAGCCATTGGCCATTATCTTTGAAAACTCGTGGTGAACGGAAGTCCCGGATGACTGGAAAAGGCTAATGTAGTGCCAATCTTTAAAAAGGGAAGAAGGAGGATCCTGGGAACTACAGGCCAGTCAGCCTCACTTCAGTCCCTGGAAAAATCATGGAGCAGGTCCTCAAAGAATCAATCCTGAAGCACTTGCATGAGAGGAAAGTGATCAGGAACAGCCACATGGATTCACCAAGGGAAGGTCATGCCTGACTAATCTAATCGCCTTCTATGATGAGATTACTGGTTCTGTGGATGAAGGGAAAGCAGTGGATGTATTGTTTCTTGACTTTAGCAAAGCTTTTGACACGGTCTCCCACAGTATTCTTGTCAGCAAGTTAAGGAAGTATGGGCTGGATGAATGCACTACAAGGTGGGTAGAAAGCTGGCTAGATTGTCGGGCTCAACGGGTAGTGATCAATGGCTCCATGTCTAGTTGGCGCGGTATCAAGTGGAGTGCCCCAAGGGTCGGTCCTGGGGCGGTTTTGTTCAATATCTTCATAAATGATCTGGAGGATGGTGTGGATTGCACTCTCAGCAAATTTGCGGATGAAACTAAACTGGGAGGAGTGGTAGATACGCTGGAGGGGAGGGATAGGATACAGAAGGACCTAGACAAATTGGAGGATTGGGCCAAAAGAAATCTGATGAGGTTCAATAAGGATAAGTGCAGGGTCCTGCACTTAGGACGGAAGAACCCAATGCACAGCTACAGACTAGGGACCGAATGGCTAGGCAGCAGTTCTGCGGAAAAGGACCTAGGGGTGACAGTGGACGAAGCTGGATATGAGTCAGCAGTGTGCCCTTGTTGCCAAGAAGGCCAATGGCATTTTGGGATGTATAAGTAGGGGCATAGCGAGCAGATCGAGGACGTGATCGTTCCCCTCTATTCGACATTGGTGAGGCCTCATCTGGAGTACTGTGTCCGTTTTGGGCCCCACACTTCAAGAAGGATGTGGATAAATTGGAGAGAGTCCAGCGAAGGGCAACAAAAATGATTAGGGGTCTGGAACACATGAGTTATGAGGAGAGGCTGAGGGAGCTGGGATTGTTTAGCCTGCAGAAGAGAAGAATGAGGGGGATTTGATAGCTGTTTTCAACTACCTGAAAGGGGGTTCCAAAGAGGATGGCTCTAGACTGTTCTCAATGGTATCAGATGACAGAACGAGGAGTAATGGTCTCAAGCTGCAGTGGGGGGTTTAGATTGGATATTAGGAAAAACTTTTCACTATGAGGGTGGTGAAACACTGGAGCGTTACCTAGGGAGGTGGTAGAACTCCTTCCTTGGAGGTTTTAAGGTCAGGCTTGACAGCTGGCTGGGTGATTTAACTGGGATGGTCCTGCTTTGAGCGGGGTTGGACTAGATGACCTTCTGGGGTCCCTTCCAACCCTTATATTCTTGATTCTGATCTAGACTAAGAATTTTTAATCACTCTGTAAACTCAGGGGTTGTACCGTATGATTGGAGAATTGCTAACATAGTTCCTATTTTTAAGAAAGGGAAAAAAGTGATCTGGGTAACTACAGGCCTGTTAGTTTGACATCTGTAGTATGCAAGGTCTTGGAAAAAATTTTGAAGGAGAAAGTAGTTAAGGACATTGAGGTCAATGGTAAATGGGACAAAATACAACATGGTTTTACAAAAGGTAGATCGTGCCAAACCAACCTGATCTCCTTCTTTGAGAAAGTAACAGATTTTTTAGACAAAGGAAATGCAGTGGATCTAATTTACCTAGATTTCAGTAAGGCGTTTGATACTGTGCCACATGGGGAATTATTAGTTAAATTGGAAAAGATGGGGATCAATATGAAAATTGAAAGGTGGATAAGGAATTGATTAACAGGGAGACTACAGTGGGTCCTACTGAAAGGTGAACTGACAGGGTCGAGGGAGGTTACCAGTGGAGTTCCTCAGGCATCAGTTTTGGGACCAATCTTATTTAATCTTTTTATTACTGACCTCGGCACAAAATGTGGGAGTGTGCTAATAAAGTGTGTGGATGATACAAAGCTTGGAGGTATTGCCAATGTAGAGAAGGACCGGGATATCATACAGGAAGATTTGGATGACCTTGTAAACTGGAGTAATAGTAATAGGATGAAATTTAATAGTGAGAAGTGTAAGGTTATGCATTTAGGGATTAATAACAAGAATTTTAGTTATGAGATGGGGACACATCAATTAGAAGTAACGGAGGAGGAGAAGGACCTTGGAGTATTGGTTGATCACAGGATGACTATGAGCCGCCAATGTGATGTGGCCGTGAAAAAAGCTAATGCGGTCTTGGGATGCATCAGGTGAGGTATTTTCAGTTGAGATAAGGAGGTTTTAGTGCCGTTATACAAGGCACTGGTGAGACCTCACCTGGAATACTGTGTGCAGTTCTGGTCTCCCATGTTTAAGAAGGTTTCAGAGTATCAGCCGTGTTAGTCTGTATTCGCAAAAGAAAAGGAGTACTTGTGGCACATTAGAGATTAACCAATTTATTTGAGCATGAGCTTTCGTGAGCTACAGCTCACTTCATCGGATGCATCGGATCCGATGAAGTGAGCTGTAGCTCACGAAAGCTCATGCTCAGATAAATTGGTTAGTCTCTAAGGTGCCACAAGTACTCCTTTTCTTTTGCATGTTTAAGAAGGATGAATTCAAACTGGAACAAGTACAGAGGAGGGTTACTAGGATGATCCGAGGAATGGAAGACCTGTCTTATGAAAGGAGACTCAAGGAGCTTGGCTTGTTTAGCCTAACCAAAAGAAGGTTGAGGGGAGGTATGATTGCTCTCTATAAATATATCAAAGGGATAAATACTGGAGAGGGAGAGGAATTATTTAAGCTCAGTACCAATGTGGACACAAGAACAAATGGATATAAACTGGTCATTGGGAAGTTTAGACTTGAAATTAGACAAAGGTTTCTAACCATCAGAGGAGTGAAGTTTTGGAATAGCCTTCCAAGGGAAGCAGGGGGGGCAAAAGACCTATCTGGCTTTAAGATTAAACTTGATAAATTTATGGAGGAAATGGTATGATGGGATAACATGATTTTGGTAATTAATTGATCTTTAACTATTCATGGTAAATAGGCCCAATGGCCTGTGATGGGATGTTAGATGGGGTGGGATCTGAGTTACTACAGAAAATTCTTTCCTGAGTATCTGGCTGGTGAATCTTGCCCATGTGCTCAGGGTTTAGGTGATCGCCATATTTGGTGTCGGGAAGGAATTTTCCTCTAGGGCAGATTGGAAGAGGCCCTGGAGGTTTTTCGCCTTCCTCTGTGGCATGGGGCACGGGTCACTTGCTGGAGGATTCTCTGCTTCTTGAAGTCTTTAAACCATGATTTGAGGACTTCAATAGCTCAGACATAGGTGAGAGGTTTTTCGCAGGAGTGGGTGGGTGAGATTCTGTGGCCTGCGTTGTGCAGGAGGTTGGACTAGATGATCATAATGGTCCATAATGGTCCACCTTCTGACCTTAGTATCTATGATTCGCTGTGTGAGTTTTGGTAAATCATCTGATAGCTCTGTGCCCCAGTTTCCCCATCTGTAAAATTGAGATCATGCTATTTACCAAGGTCCAGTGGTTAGGGCACGTGCCTACCGCTTGCTCTGCCACAGACTTTTTACATGACCGTGGGTAAAACAATTAGCCTTTTTGGGTCTCATTTCCTGATCGTATAATGGGCATAATAGCAGTGCCTTATTTCGCAGGGGTGTCGTGAGCATAAATACATTGAAGGTTGTGAAGTGCTTTGAGAGCTGATGAAAAGAGCTATATGAGAGCTAGGCATTATGATTAAGGCTACGTTTTAGTCATGGGTGTTTTTAGTAAAAGTCATGGACAGGTCATGGGCAGTAAACAAAAATTCACTTGTACTATATACCCCTAATTAAAACTTGGGCCGGGGGGCTGCGGGTGCTCTGGGGGAGTGATCCGGGGGTGCAGTGGGTGCTGGGGGGGTGGAGGCGGGCGGCAGCGCGCAGCCTGGGACCCCTGCTAGTGCTGGGTGGTGTGGGCAGTGGCGTCTGACCCAGGACCCCCTCTGGTGATGAGACGGGACCGGGTGGCAGCGTGCGGCCCAGGATCTTCTCTGGTGCTGGGGGCGGGGGAAGGTTGTCAAGACTGACAGGCTCCCTACCTGGCTCCGCATGTTCCTGCAGCTCCTAGGGGGAGGGAAGGCCAGGGGGGCTCCACGTGCTACCCCCCCGCCAGAAGCTTTAGCGCCGCAGCTCCCATTGGCCGGGAACTGCAGCCAATGGGAGCTGCAGAGGTTGCACGCAGAGCCCCCGGCCCCTCCGCCTAGGAGCTGCAGGGACATGCCGGCCACTTCAGGGGAGCCCCCCGAGGTAAGCACCACTCTGCACCCCAATCCCTTGCTCCAGCCCCTCCCACAACCAAATTGCCCCAGCAGTGCCCGGTGTGGCTGGCCCAGGGGCTGCCTTTGATCTGCTCGGGCAGCCCCAGAGCCAGCCACACTGGCCACTGCAGAGGTCACGGAAAGTCAAGGAATCCGTGACCTCCGTGACAGACATGCAGCCTTAATTATGATATCGTCAGATGAAAAGTACTATATAAGTACAGAATATAATTATCACTGTAGATCTGGATAGCTTGCTACTCAGTAACAAAGTCAATGTCTTTTAGCAAAGCTTGAAGTGGCCAGGACTGAAACCAAGGAAGAAAGGAAGAACTTCTGTAATGTTTATTTTGTTTTATTTTATTTGGCAACAAAGCTCTCTGTTCAAAACTGGGTAAGTAACCAGCACACTAAAGATTAGTAAATACAAATGAATCAGAGTAGCAGCTGTCAGCATAAGCTTTCGTGAGCTACAGCTCACTTCAAATAAATTTGTTAATCTCTAAGGTGCCACAAGTACTCCTTTTCTTTTCACAAATGAATCAGCGACTAATAAAGCACTATTATTAATCTTTTATACAGCACCCTATATCTGTACAATTTTGTGATGTGTTGGTAAGTCCCTGTGTAATGAGGTGGTGTGGTGCCCCACCACCCTGCCGAGGGAAGAACCTCCCCAGACACCAAAGTGGGCAGAGCCAGTGCGTCCTGCACCCACCCCCCAGAGGTCAAGGCGCAGGACAGGAAGTAGAAAAGCCCAACCCCAGAGCTCAGTTGGGCGACAGTAGCCAGAGAGGCCAGATACCCGGGGCCTGGCTCTAGCTTGGGAGACCCCGGCATGCTGCAGCCGACCCGAGGACCGGCCAGACAGGCCAATGCCTGACACTGACCGACGCCCAGAGGAGCTGTCGAGCCTACCCCTCGCCAGCTACCCAGAGGAGCCCATGGTGCTGGAACCCTCCAAGGAGACCACCCTGACCCAGGTACCCTACGAGGGGGAGTCTGGAAGTAGCCCGGGGGCAGCCGACTCCAGTCTGGCTGCAGCACTGCCAGAGCCAATGTCAGTGTGTTGCGGCCGGGATCCCCACTGACACAGCAGTGGGTCTTTGGCTGCTGCTAGGGCCCTGGGCTGGGACACAGTGGAGTGGGTGGGCCTGTGTCCCCCCCTGCCACCCACCTCGCGGGTGGCAGTCTCCCCATCCCCGTGGTTGCTAAAGCTAGGAGCCTGGGCTTATATTGAACTGTTTGGCTCAGCCTCTGCCTGAGGGCCTGAGCCCCTGACTGTTTGTCTGCTGCCCCACTCTGACCCAGGGCCTGGGCTTATATTGAACTGCTTGCGGTACACAGCCTGAAGGTCTGGGCCATAGACTGGGTATTCCCCAACCCAGCAGAGAGTGTAGTGAGGCGGTGTGGTGCCCCACCACCCCGCCAAGGGATGAGCCCCAGCTGAGTTCCCTTACACCCTGCTTAACAGAGCCCTGTCCTAAAAGGTTTGCAATCTAACTGCACAGATAAGAAACACAGTGGAAGAGAACATCAGAAAAAAATACACAGAGCAGGGGGTTGCTGTTGCAGTTGAATGCTACATGGAATGGGTGGGGTTTTAGGAGTTCCTAGTATTTGTGATATCCACCCAAATGCAACTGGACAGTAAAGTGAAACAAGATAGAAGTTACAGGATCCTCAACACCCAGAAATGAATGGATTTAGCCGTGCATGGAGGTTCACAAACACTGCCACAATAGTCCATCTCAGCTATCCTGTCTCTTGACAGTTGGAAGAGGATGTCATAATCCCACTCCATTTCTTTTTGGAAAGAGTGCCAGAGATCCCCTCTGTGACTGAAATTAAAAAATAAACTTGTTAATGTGTGGATGCTTTTGGAGTTGCTTGAGACTCACTGAGTACTGCTGTGGGAAGCTGCAAAAGTGTGTAATTTAAGCGTGTGATAGGGCCATTTTCAGAAGCTATAGTGAAAAATCATTAATTGATCAAAGCATTTTGCTGATCTTTTTCCAATGCTGGTGGTAAAAATATATAATTTACTATAATTATATATTCATTTCTTGTGTGTCACACAGAGCACTTACACACATGGAAAGAGATGCATTCCCTGCCCCAGAGAGAGGAAAAATGAAGGGAGTAGCAAGGAAAGAGAATTAAGAAAAGTGTAGCAGGAAAGGGAGAGGAAACAGGGAGATACAAAGTCGAAGATGGAGGTCAGAGTGAAGTTATGTACAGTGCTTGACAGTGAGAGGCCATGTTTCAGTCTCCTAGGTCAAGATTCTGCCTGCTGAAGCATTCTATATATATCCTCAACTTTCTCTCTCTACTTATCAGATGTTGGGTCTGCGAAATATATGCTTGATTAGGCACCCAATAATGGATGACGCTTTTGCGGTACCAGCTTCAAGCTCTTTCTCAATTTCACAACAGAGCTGATGTTGGTGAAATCACTGACAATCTCAACTGGGTAGTTCCCTGCTAAGTTGCTAGAGTCTTCAGCATGTTTTAAATCACCAACTAAAAGAATTTTGGTGAGGAAGGGCAGTGCTATTATCTCCATTGTACATAGGGGGAACTGAGGCACAGGGACACTAAGTGTTGAACCTGCTGTGGCTCTTTTCTCAGGGGTCCGACAGCATTGGGAGTGGCAAGGAAAGAGGGAATAGACTTTGAGATAGGGCATGAACCATGGTGCAATTTCTAGTGGAGTCAGAGCCCTAATTAACATTTTGCCAGGGAGTCGTCATTTTATCATTATGCTTTTTTTGCCACTTAGGAATGGAGGTGATCTGGCTCTTTAAAGGTGCATGCAACTGGTACCCTGACAGTTCACCTGCTTGCTTGGAAACCCTCAGGACATGGAGCTCCCATTGACTTCAGTGGGAGTTCTGTATACAAACAGCTTGCAGAATGTTGCCCTGGAAGTACTACACAAATGTTCTCTCTCTACCTGAGAGGAAGGATGGTTCAGTAGTCAGTGGCTAGCCTGGGACCTGGGTTCAACTCCCTGCTCCGCCACAGAATTCCTGTGTGACCTTGGACAATCACTTAGCTTCTTTGTTCACCATCCATAAAGTGTTGATAATAGCACTGCCCTTCCTCACAGGGATGTTTTGTGGATAACTACATTAAAGACTGTGAGGTGCCTGGATTCTATGGTGATGGGGGGCCAGAGAAGAACCTTAGATATTTCCCTGAAGTCTTGACATGGAGGTACCTGAATACCTCTCAGGAACGGGAATAACACCACTATCTCTCTTGAGTCCTTCCCTACTGGATGATGGTTTCATTGTTGCAGTGGACCATAGCTGATGTGGTCATGGAGAGAAGGATAGAGACACAGTCCTTCAGGGAGCTAAGGCCAATCTCAAGCAACTCTCTGCAAATCAGGACTTGGATTATTACCAGTGCAGACATTGGAGCAGTGGGGTGAGATGGTAGGTCCAAACAGTATTCTAGGGCTAGCAGAGGTTGGCAAATGCTGTTGCAGGGAAATAGCTGACAGCTTGCTGAGTGAAGGCAGCATAGAAGAGGTGGGTTTTGACTGTGCTTTTAAAAGATGAGGGAACTAGATGTTCCAGGACCCATGGGACTTTTCACCACTAGCTCACCAGGTAGAGCTCCGGTCTAGGTCAGAACATAGTTTGGCAGTAATGGCTAAAAGCAGATAACATCTGACAGTGGTTTGGTGACCAATGGAAAATCAGGTTGGGGATCTAAGACTAGATCCTAGTGGATAAGTGTCTGAATCACAAAAAATTGCCACCATAATTGGGTCCCTGGTTAGCAGCTTTGTGGAAGCCAAGGGATGAGTGGACCACGGAGACTCAACTGTCCTCTAAGGTCAGGAGTAATGTATGTTGGCCCCAGGGGACAATGGGGGATGTTTGCAGTGCCACTGCCTTTTCTATGGATAAATGAAGGATTTAAGCACTAGAAAGGTCACATGGCACATGTAAAAATTTGGTCCAGATGGTAGCTGCAATGAAATCAGTCCTTGGCAGAGGTGAATAGAGAGTTGTTGTGGGTGGGGAAAGTGAGTGGAAATGGCAGAGTAGATGGAGTGAGTTGGGATACAGAGAGAGTTGGCAACAGAGTGGTAAATGGGTTTTGAAGCTGAGCATGGGTGATGCACCAGCAGAGATCTTCCAGGCTGGGCGGTCTGGACATATCTGTGTATGAGGGGCAGACAGCATGCTGCAGTGCTCTGTACAGATTAGAGTGTGCCCCAGTTTGTGACTGAGCGCCTGGGGGAGCAGCAGTTTGTACAAAGCTAAAGACAATTAGCCAGTCTCTGTAGCGTTACAGAAAGCATTGCCTATATGGACTGCAGGCTCTGAAACAAGCAATGCTGCATGCACAGAACTCTCCTTTAACTGGAAGGCAGAAAAATCTGGGGAAGTGTGACCCCCTGTGGGTAAAAACGGGAACTACCATGTGGATAAGTGGACACGTTTTTCATAGTGTGCGCCACATCTTAATAGAGAACTTGTCTTGTGGGCTGCCTTCACTCTACTCTGTCATAGCACAGCACCTATCTTCTCCTTGGTTATTGGATAACATCCATGTGTCAATTTCAGCAAGAACTTCCATGCAAAAATTAGGAAAGCAGGTGTGTATTTTTCACTTCTTTTAATACAGTTTTTAGTAGCTAGACACAAGGAGGGACCATTGCCATGTGGCCAGCCAACCAGCTAGCTCTTCGTGGATAACTAGCAAGTGCTCCATGGACCACAGTTTGGGAGCTGCTATTCTAGGTCAGTCGGCCATATTTCCTTATACTGAGGCTAGGATTGCATTGCTTGTGTTTCCCATCCCCATTCACTTTATTTACTTCTTGCTATCTTCTTCCTCCCTAGGTATGATGCTATCTGCCTTTACTCCTGGGGATTCGGTGCTAGTTCAGTATGCACTCTAAGACCCTTTGTGCCACCTGCTCCTCCTGGCATACACATGGGTACTCACTATTAGTGTCATTGTTTAGTGACCTCTAGCTTGGATGACCACAGTGAGCCTGTGATGCTACTTGGAGCCATTCTCTCTCCTCAGGGCTACACCAACCCAATCTTTGCCTTGCAGGTTGACAACAGATGCACACCAGCCCCTGAGTCCCTTCAAAGTGTCCCCATGTTGTATCCAGCCCCTGATCACTGGATAACCACAGAAATCCCAGTTAGATGGGTTTCCCCTGGGGTGCCACCTGGAACTGGGGTATCACTGAGCCCTCTGACCCACCAGCCTGGGCTCCCTCTCACACTGTGCTGCTGTGAGAAGCTGCAGACCCGCTCCCGGTCCTACACTTCCACCAACATTCACGCAGGTAGGGACACACCCAGCTGCAGTTACACACAGGCTTTGACCAGCCACTGCATGAACCAACAATAAAGAGGCTACAGCCAAAATAACCGCCAGCTTCCCAGCCTAGGACCCCAGAGCAATACTGTCCTGCCTTAGGCCAAACCCCAACCAGTATGAATTTATTATCCAGTTCGCCTCCCCCTCAATGTGGAGAAGAAATGCAACAGCCCCTACTCCTTGAGCTAAGATTGCCATGCACTTCACTCCAAACTTACTGGTTTAGGTTAAAACATAAAATAAATTTATTAATTACAAAAAGATAGATTTTAAGTGTTTATAAGTGATAGCAAACAGATCAAAGCAGATTATCTAGTAAATAAAGAAAAATGCAAACTAACTAGAAAGATAGACTATGAATTAGCAAATTCTCCTTGTGGCTGATGATACAAGCAGGCTTGCAGATTCTTAAGGAATAAGCTGCATTTGCTTTGCAGCTTAGAATCTGCACCCCCCTTCCAAGTCTTTTTTTTTTTTTTTTGGAGCTTCTCTTAGGTGTTCCATTGTGGGGGAGTGAAGAATAACCAGTGATTTTGCTCCCTGCCTTATATAGCTCTAGCATGTGGTGGGAAACCTTTGTTCCAACCTCAGTTCCCAGACCAGCTTGTGGAAAAACACCAGC